AGTATGAGCGACAGAGTAAGACTCCAACTCACAAAAAAAAAAGTTATTGCACAACTATTTTATACTGCATCAGAGTTAACTGTGCCTAGTAGTTTTTCCTGTTTTGAAAAAGTAAACTTTTTTTTTTGAGTTGGGGTCTCACTACGCCACCCAGGCTAGAGTGCAGTGGCACAATCACAGTTCACTGCAGTCTCAAACTCCTCGGCTCAAGTGATCCTTCCACCTCAGCCTCCTGAGTAGCTGGGACTATAGGCGTGCCACTCTGCCTGATTAATTTTGTGATTTTTTTTAAAGTAGAGACAAGGTCTTGCTATGTTGTCTAGGCTGGTCACGAACTTCTGGGCTCAAGCAATCCTTCCACCTTGGATACCCAAAGTGCTGGGGATACAGGCACGAGCCACTGCGCCTGTATTATTATTTGATTTTAATAATCAAAGTGTTGTTTAGATGCTATCAAATCCAAGTTTCTAGTATTAGACATCTTTTTCATATGATCACAGTTCTACAATAACAACTATAAAATGTATTGGCTGGGTGCAGTGGCGCACTCCTTAATCCCAGAGCTTTGGAAGGCCGAGGCAGGAGGACTGCTTAAGGCTGGGAGTTTGACATCAGCCTGAGAAACATAAAGAGACTCAGTCTTTAGAAAAAATTGTTTTAAAAAAGTAGACAGGCATGACGGTGTGCACCTGTAGTCTCAGCTACTCAGGAGGCTGAGACAGGACGGTCACTTGACCCCTAAAGTTTGGGGTTATGGTGAGCTATAATAGCACCACTGTACTCCAGTCTAGCCAACAGAGTGAATCCTGCCTCTAAATAAATAAAAAATAAAATGAAATAAATAAAATAAAATGTAGACACGAGAAGTTCTTGAAATACATAAAAATGTAGCTGTATTTTTGTGTACAAATGTGCAATCCTCATTAATCTGATTAGATGACCCTAGTTGGGCTACAGTCTAATGCTAACACTATGAAGAAAGAGTTTGCTAAACACATTAGGGCATTTTTGTTTGCTTATATAACAAACTAAACTTTAAGACTTCAGCAACTCAGTTGTTATATTTGATTGAAAGCTAAAGTCTCAACTATTCATTGAAGGTTAGCTTTTTAGGATCTGCATAGAAATATTTCATTGGCAACTAGAGTTATTACATATACCTAAAATAGTAACATTATATTTAAAATGTTCTTTAAGTTTTACTGACTTAGCATGTTTTCCTAAGTTATCAAGCATTTACTACAAGTTTATAACCAAAGTGATCTTGAATGACCAGTGACAAATGCCTTGACAATCAATCTATGAAAAGACATAAATTAACCAGCACAAATAACACAATTTAAACATCAAAAATAACATGTATGTCCTCATGAATTAAAAACTCAAGTACTTATGATCTTTACAATAGTGGAATATAATTTTAGGCATAAATGTAAATGTTCCCTAGAAAATTCCTAAGATTAGAGAAATGGGTGTCAATATTCCTACAGTAAAAAAGCAGTTCTTATAAAAATTCACTAAATTTTAATTTTCATTGCTAATTGAAATTACAAGAGATTTTTTTGAAAGGGCCCAACATATAAGCCTACTTATAACAAGCCAAAATGATTAGAAAAGCTGACTAGTCACATTTCCCCTTGATATGCAGTCTTCTAAACAACTATCCATTTATTTTACCATTAGAAAACTCTCCTATGTTTATCCATAGTAAATACAAGTCAGGAATAAATGAATAATTGATATCATAACTTATGTTTACGTGAACTTTTCAATGCATTTCAAAGGTTAAAATTCAGTAATATCTTTTCTAATATAAAATTTTATTAACAAAAAATGTTTAAGTAATACCCACAAAAATATTCTCCAGGGTTTTTTATGTATGTTATCAATGAGTTGAGATTTAAAGTCAGTATAGATAAAACCTACTTTCTGTCAGATCCTCATGTCATTCTTCATGCAGTAACAGCATGAGATATATTTCTTATATTCAAATCCTAAAGTACCAATGTTTAGGAATTCAAAATAATATTACGTGAAGAAGTTGTTCCTACATGGTAAAGTCACAGAACCTCAAATATCCTTATTAAAGCTATGTTAGGATACCCAAAGCATCAAATATAAAACAATGTCCATTGCTCATTAACACTGCAGAAGTATCTAACACTTGTATGATTCTACTGCATAAAATTTGCTTGCTATACTACAAACACCAAAAGACAGACTACAGTATTATTTTAGTGGCTTATGGAATGTTATGAAAAATCTTTCTGATCATTATAAAGCAACACTGAATCTTCATTAAAAGCACAGCATCATTACATTTTTGGGAAGACTATGATCTGTCATGTAATATAACAGTTTAGCCTCACCTATATAGTAAAGGCCCAGAATGACTAAGCCAGGTAGGCCCTGGATCATCAGATTTTTATTCATTTTATACCATACTAATTTTTCCCCCCTGTTGTGTATAGATTAAAGTGCTTTTCAGTTTATCAGTACATTAATTTTTTTTAAAAATTACAGTTCAAGACAAGTTAGAATGATTCAGCAACTAAATGTTAAATCCAAGAGCAAGAAATGCAGCTGAATTTTTCTAAAGCAACACAATTTCACTCAAGAAAATCTACCTGTATGGTTACAGAAAGAGAAATTAGTTTATGTCAAGTAATTCAATAAAGTATATGATATAAAAATGACTACCTGAAAAATAATTTAAAGTAATAATCATATAAATTAGTCCAAAATTCTATAATTTTCTGTTATTTTTCAGCAGATGTAGAGCATGCTGATTCACTTAATTTTAACTGGCTCATAATTTAAATAATACATTTTAAGCAGATACTATCCTTATAAGCATCTTTACCTTTTAAAATTTTTTTTACCATTACCTGCAAACAATAGGTAACAAAGCTTAGCTTCTGCTCCTCATTCTTTTTTCCTAACGTTTACTTACAGTTGAATAAAACATTACAATATTTATGAAATTAATCATTGTAATACAACCACTACTTATAATTTGCTATTTTATAGCAACCCTCTATAACTTTCTACAAAGCTCTTTTAAACCTCTTTGTTTAAAATTTCAGGGTATTTTAGAGGGCAGGGGGTAGGAAAAATGCATTCTGTAAGGGACAGCAGTTGAAAGTATTAGCAAAAATAAAGAGACCAATCTCTTTCCAATACTGAGCAACATAAGAATCTACCTTATGTTAATTGAAAAAACAAAAACTAAACCACAAACTACAACAGTTCACACCCTGAAAATGTGGCCTATTTACCCTGAAAACATATAATCTATTATAAATACAGATAAAATATAAGAATCACATTTACTACCCAGACTTTAAATCCTGAATTTTGCCACACTGTCTCATTATCATTTTCACTTCAAAACCTATCTTACGTCTCAGAAAAATAGCCTTCATCCATTGATATTCTAAAAATAGACTCCTACTGTCTTTTTTTTTTTTACAAGAAACAATTACGCTTGGTTATAAGTCCTTCCATATCAGCCACATCATCAATACCTTAAATTCCTATTTAACCTGATTTTTGGCAATCAAAATGGTAACTAAATACACACATACACACACACACTCACACACACACACACACACACACACACACACACACACACAAATCTTACCTATATGCTGCATTTTCTTTCAAATGCAAAATGGTTAGATTCCCCTTCTACTTAATCAGTATAGGGTCTGGACATTTTTCAGTCTGACTTGCAAATATTTGCTTTCCCTCTTAGGGCATAGCATCCGCAGGGTTATACAGCACTACTTACATTCTCTTCCACATAAAAATCAGACATTACATGAAAGGAAAAGAAAGACAGCCCATTTCAAAGCATCTGGCAAACCTCCATTGGCAACCTGCCAAGCCTCTGCTAAACCTTCCTGTCTTTCCGAGCATGCTCACTTAAAACCAACAGCACGTTACTATGGCAACTCTGTAGGCAGCCTGTAAGTATGAACCGCCATTCTGATTTCAGAGTGTAAAAAAACCAAATACTGCAGGGGAAGTAAAAGGAAAGAAATAGTGTATGCCCTTCATCACATACAAGTATACTCATTTTATTTCATAAATTCATATCTGTGTATGTAAAATGGAAACAGGCATCTCACATTTTTCCAGGCAAATATTTTTCATGCTCAAATAGGTTCCCCTTTTCAGTAAATTCATTCTCTTTGTCTTGCCCCTAAGTCTCTTTACCCTACAACAACCAAAAATATACTGAACAATTTATCACACTTGACAAAACACTGCTGAATAAACAAACAACAATATTCACATAAACAATCCTGTAGTACTCCACAGATGATTTCCCACAAGTGTATGCATATTTAAATAATATGGCAATATTACAAAGAAAATGACTAGTACTTATAAAATACAATCTAAATATTTTCTATGATTTATCAAACTAACAAACAAAGTTTTCTTTAGGTTTGGATAGGATTTTTTTACCCCAATTATTTGTGAAATATTACAAAATATCTGAAAGAGGTGAGGTTTTGAAGTTAAGACGTGCCACACCTAGGTTCAAATCCCTATTTTCCATATTTTAGTTGTGCCACCTTGGAAAAGTTACTTAACCTTTCTGAACCTCACTTTCCTCGTCTTTAAGTAAAGCAGGATAATAACAGTTACTTCATATGGTAACAGCTTAAATGAGTTAATACATAACATTCCTAAACATTACACTTCTTTCCTCCAGGGTGGTTTGGAAAAGACTCCCCCAAAAACCAGTTTGCACTTATAGATTAGTTAACCTGAAAAATACTTCTTTGTAACCTCTCACTCACCAAAATTCAGTTTTAATTCACATACTATGCTATGAGCCAAAAAGCTTCCTCAACTCCCAAATCAAGTCATGCTAGAAATGGACAGAATTGAATAATCTAAATGGAGGAAAAAAATATGTGAAGGCACTGTTTTTACTAGAGAGTATTAAAATGTATTTATTTGTTATAAATATGAAATTATACTTACGCTTCTTCTTCTGCCTTTTTGGCCTCCTTTTCCTTCTCTTCATCGTTTTCTTCAGCGGGGCCTTCTTCATCATCACTACTGGATGACTCAAGTATCTCACTTATATCCATTTTCCAATTATCAGGAACAATTCTAGTTTTTAAGAAGATGCTTGCTTTCTGAAACCCTAGGAGTAAAACTGTACTTCAGCAGTTGCTATGGAATGAGCAGCACCGAATGATAGAAAAGGCATGGCATTCAGAGTCAGGAGATCTAAATTCGAATTCAGCTGTCACTTACAAAACGATATAGTAAGTTTGACATATTTCATAAGTTATAATGTTATATAAACGTGTGTTATTACTATAGGAACTAATGTGAGAAATCCTCATGGTAAAACATGAAAAGTTAAGCCTATCTAAAAATTACAAACCAAATATCATACCATGGCATTTAAAAACCCAATCATCAAATAAGAGTGGACATCAACTCTACTTATTTATTTATTTTTAGAGATAGGGTCTTGTTCTGTTTCCCAGGCTGGAGTGCAGTGGTGCAATCATAGCTCACTGCAGCCTCAAACTCCTGGGCTCAAATGATCCTCCTGCTTCAGCCTCCCAAGTAGCAAGGACTACAGGTATGTACCATGCCTGGTTAAGTTTAAGGAAATTTTTTCTGTAGAGATGGGGTCTCACTATGTTGTCTAGACTGGTCTTGAAATCCTGGCCTCAAGTGATCCTCCCACCTTAGCCTCCCAAAGTGCTGAGATCATAGGTGTGAGACATTACTCCCAGTTGATATCAACTCTAAACAGTTAAGTTGGCACCAGAGAATATTCAATTTTGCTTTATCCGCTATTTTTTACAGAGAGTCATATGTTAAATAATGGATATTTTACCTGGTCTAGTGAAGAGCTCAGATTCCGGTACACTGAGAATATCTACTTCCTTAATGTCCTTTCTTGCTACAGAATAACTAATTACAGAGAAAAATAAAGAGGAAGAAAACCATTTATTAAATAAAAATTATCACTTTCATGTTAGCACATAGAAAGCTGCAAACCTCAAAATCAAAACTTTGTCTGTAAAATGTTTTAAAAGTCTAAGTCCATGTATCTCTTAATCCTTAGTAAAGGGTAAAAGATAATATAGACAAGGCTAGTATCTTAATTCTCAAATTTTAGTATTACCCTCCTATAAATTGTCTGATGCAATTTTTATCCTCATGATGTTTTCAACACTTGTAAACAACAATATCTATTTTAATGTTTAGTATTTTTGAAACTTATTCATTTTAGTCAAAAAACCCCATTTGCTAGAAGGTAATATTAAAATATTTTATCATTATAAGATGTATTATGGCAATAAATTTCTCATAGAGAATTACAACTCAAACATATTTTCTTTGATTTCACTTCTTTGGGGGTAACAAAACAGAGATGAAGCTATGAAAAAGTTACTAAAAGTCTTTTTTTTTTTTGAGTTGGAGTCTCACTCTGTCACTCAGACTAGAGTGCAGTGGCCGCTCCTGGCCACCGCAGCCTCAACCTGCTGGGCTCCGGCGATCCATCTGCCTCAGGCCTTCCAAGTAGCTGGAACTACAGGCGCGCGCTACCACGCCCGGCTAATTTTTTGATTTATTGTAAAGATGAGGTCTCGCCAAGTTGCCCAGGCGGGTCTCGAACCTGCGTGCTCAGTCAATCCACTCACCTCAGCCTCCCAAGGCACGGGATTACAGGCTGAGTCACCGAGCCTGGCTAAAAGTCTTTTTTTTAATTTTAAAAATTTTTATTCTGCACTGCATTGGTATTCCCAATCTCCCTAAGCAAAGGCATGCCCTTCTAACAAAATGTGCTTAAGAGCAGAGAACAATAAAAGACAGGAAGAATCCAAAGACTCTCGGCATGGCAGTTTGGGAGTGGAACACCGTTGATGGAGACCAAGAGAGCAAATTTCACACAATCCCATTTAGTGGCAAGTGGGCATATCCCCTTTCCATCCAGGGAATGACTACTAACAATCAGACCCCTACCTAGAATCTGGAATAAACAAGAACTTCCATTTTAGGGCACTCTTCCAAACAAATAAATATCTAAATACTGAAAAGCAGCAAGTAAAACCTTAAAAAGACAAAATAATAGAAAGCAAAATCCTCTTTAAAACAAGGTATCAATGTCTAATGAAGTTCATTCAAAAATAAATTCCTAGTTTTTCTTGTCATTTGTTCCTAAAATATTTTATTTTATTTTATTAGGCACAACAATAACTCAATTTTTACTAAAATAAAAGTCTATTTATTTTTATGCTTTGCTATGGGTAGCTTGTACAAAGTCTGTTTTTTTAATCAGAAAAAGGTCAAATTAATTATTCTGGTAATATAATTCTATTAAAAACTAAGCTTCATAGTTCACGATATGAAATAGTACACATGATAAAAAAAATCAAACTTTACAATGAAGGAAAAATGTAATATTATGTCTTTTTTTACTGTTTCTAATATTCCTCTCACATACTGTTGTTTAGTTTTTATATACAATTACCCTATGTTACAAAAATATAAAAATACCCTACATGTCAAAAAGTCTAAACATATTAGATAACAACTTCTCAGTTCATAAATGGTTAGACTTTTAAAAATAAAGTCTGGGGTTGGGTGGATCTATCATTGTGATTTCATTTTTTTTCTCCTCCCATTTAACATTATTAAGTGATTCATTACTCACAATTTAGAATCAATAAATGATCGAACTAAACACTGATCCTTTTTCACTGTGACGTCATCATTACAGCTAGGAGATATTACCTGAAATATAAAAATAAGAACAGACTGATTTCTATTTCTCCTGCTCAGGAAAATATCATTATTTTAAAAGAACAATTCTAGAGATCCTCTAACTTCTCAAATGAATTATACTTCATAAGAAATAGTTTCACAGCTCCCATTATTAATGAATTACTTTGAAAAGATCTCCTTATATTTTTTGTTTAGCACATTGGTTTTCTAGATATGTAATTTATCCATAGCCATTAAATTATAAAATGATTAATGAAATATAAATTCAAGTGTAGCCAGTTTTTAAAAATATTAGACTTCATTCTAAATAAAATGATCATTCATTTTTATTCAAAAAATAATCTGTGGTGAAAATTTTGCATATTATAATTTTTTTTTAATATATACTTGAGCTGGGGGAGGTGGCTCATGCCTGCAATCCCAGCACTTTGGGAGGATGAGGTAGGAGGATCATTTGAGCTGATCACTAGCAAAACAAACAAACAAACAAAACAAACAAACAAACAAAAACACTAGCCTGGGCAACAAAGTGAGACCCTATCTCTGCACAAAATTTAAAAATTAGTCGAGCCGGGTTCGGTGGCTCAGCCTGTAATCCTGTGCCTTTGGGAGGCTGAGGTGAGTGGATTGCCTGAGCCCATGGGTTCAAGACCCGGCTGGGCAGCGAGACCTCATCTCTACAATAAATAAAAAAATCAGCCAGGCGTGGTAGCGCATGCCTGTAATTCCAGCTACTTGGAAGGCTGAGGCGGAAGGATCGCCAGAGCCCAGCAGGTCGAGGCTGCGGTGGCTGGGAGCGGCCACTGCACTCCAGTCTGGGCGACAGAGTAAGACTCCAACTCAAAAAAAAAAAAAAAATTAGCCGACTGGGCTTGGTGGCTCAGCCCGTAATCCTAGCACTTTGGAAGGCCAAAGCGAGTGGATTGCCTGAGCCCAGCAGGTTTCAGATCAGCCCGGGCAACTTAGTGAGACCTCATCTCTATAATATATAAAAAATGAGCTGGGTGTGGTAGCGCGCACCTGTAGTATTGTCTACTTGGAAGGCTGAGGCAGAAGGATTGCCAAAGCCTAGCAAGTAGACACTGGGGTGGCCATGAGCGTGCCACTGCACTCCAGCCTGGGCTACAGAGTGAGACTCCAACTCAAAAAAAAAATTAGCTAAGTATGATGACGCACATCTGTAGTCCCAGTTACTCAGGAAGCTGAGGAGGGTGCATCCCTTCAGCCCAAGAGTTCAAGGCAGCGGTGCATTATGATTGTGCCACTGTACTCCAGCCCAGCTGACAGAGTGAGACACCAACTCAGAAAAAAAAACTTCAATCAGGATTTATTTTGAAACAGGGCTATTTGTTAAAACCATCTGAGTTTGCTTTTTTTTTTTTTTTAAGCAGGATATGCAGTTTCTAGTAATTAAAACAAATCAAAGACAATATGAACAAAGAACTTTTAAAGCAAATCAAAACCACAATGAGATACCACCTAACTGAGGATAAGTACAGTGATACCGTGAGGCACAGAATAATATGAAAACCCAATCTGGGCAAGGAAAAGGTGTGGCAGCCAAAGCTTGAGTTAAGTCTTAAAGGATGGTTAGGCACAACCCAACATCTAATTACCTCACCTGTGAACTACTCTAATAGCCTTTGAGTTGATTCCTGCCACCTCCAGTCTTTCCAATAACATACCACTGCCTCATTAACATTCTGAAACATGCAGCTCAAATAGCATCACTCTTCTGCAAAATTTTCTGTAGAATTATGTCCAAATTCATTAGATGAACTTTAGAAGACCCTTCTGCCCTAGATTCAAATTATCTTTCCAATTATATTTCCTATTATTCTCCTATTCACATCTAGTACTTAGCCAAAATGGACGCCAGAGCAAACGGTTCCATGAACAAACCCTTTGCTTTTCTGTTTATACTTGTTTCCTCTAGTGAAGTTCTGTTTAATAACTTGAAATCCTTCAAGGCTCAGCTTAAAAACACCTGATTCATGAAGGCTTTCTGTATTTTATTCCAATGAATATGATATCTCAGGCCAAGACAGAGTGAACTACTATATGTTCATATACCAAGTATACTGAACATAAGACTCTTTTATGTTAGTTACCTGAATAATTCTCTGCATTAGACATATAATCAAATGTAATAATGGTGTCTTACTCATTTTTCATTTTCAATGTCAGAAAAATAATAAATATATTGAGTAATAAAGGAACTTGTTTTTATTTAAAAGAAAAAAAAACTCTTGACACACTATGATCTGAATATTCTGCATCCAAATCCATTTGCTTGTTTGCCTATGTAACTGAAAAAGGTCAAAGGATTTTCAGAATCTTCCTGTGCAAAGTAAATCTATTAACTAGGAAATGAGGAACATATTTACATAAACATAGAAACTACAAATATGCCCATAGCTCTTTAAAAAATTATAATCCAATTTGGGATATATTTTGTGCCACTATTACTAGAGATAAGTGATATCATAACCCAAAGAAGAGTCATACTTATGTTGAGTATTTTCTAAATACACCCTGCAGAGAAGGCAGTACTTAGCTGAAGTTTAATAAATATTTAAGAGGGAATAAAGAAGAGGAGGAAGAAGAGAAAGAAGAGAAGAGTGGAGGAGGAGGAAGAAGTGGAAACAGGCATTACAAAATATTTTTGATTCTTCTCATAAAATAATCTCTTGTCCATCTATCTTTTCTTATTCCTTTTCTATGTAAGCAAAGATCAGCTTTCTCTACCAACCTACCTAAGACTTCCCACTTACAAAGCCTTCTTTAAAATCTATGTGAACCCTTCCTTTCTAATACTCCCTGTCATACTCTGGTTTACACACAATTTTTTTTAAATTTACAATATAATCTTTAATTACTATGTAATCTCTTAGATGTGTATAATAAGCTCCCTGAGGGCAATGAGTTGCAAATTTCACACTTCTTTCTCTTAAGGAACCAGAATAAAGCTGAACTTACTGCAGATCCTCAGTAAATATTAATTAATTTAAGGCAGAGATAAAGGATTAGAGGAATGAAGTATCTTACATGGGTGCAGTTAAGAAAGAACTTGAGTAGAGTTTATAATGAAAACAGAAAATAAAGACCTAGGGATGGCCACAAATACCCATTTAAAATTGCAAAATCGATCAATTAAGGCAGATGTAGCAAAGGTTTTTTATTTTTGACAATGGGAATATCACAATTAAATCAGTATTTTAAAAAATTCTCTATGAAAGTTAGTTCTGGAAAATTAGTCTAAATTTAGTAAAGAAAGGATTCAAGAATCAAATTAAGAGAACTCATAGTAATGGGAATACAGTAAAAAAAAGACCACTGGACACATTTTGAGGGAAGAAATAAAAGATTCCAATAAAAGTTATGGAGAATAAAAAAAGGGAATAATAAAAGAAAACAGTAAAATATTCTGGGCCTGGCTATGCTCAATTTTAAAATCTGTGATAAAATCCAAATTTGTTGCATTCCTTCAAAATACTCTAAATCCTTTTTAAAAATCAATTTTAAATAGTTACATGATTGATTAACTTTGCAAAGAAACCTTACTTACCAAAGCTGGATACCATTCAGTTCGCTCAGTTGTAGATGCCACACTTACAACTTTTCCTAATAATTCATCATTGAGACGTCGCTTATCCTCATCTTCCTCTTCACTACTTTCTTCTTCCTTTTCATCTTCAGTACTGAAAGCAAGTATAACTAGATCATTATCCTAATACAAACCATTATTTGATAAAAAGTAGTGTAGGCTGGGTGCAGTCACTTATGCCTGTAATCTCAGCACTTTGGGAGGTTGAGGCAAGAGGATTGCCTGAACCCAGAAGTTTGAGACCACTCTGGGCAAGAGATGGGTACTTCCTTGGCCTCACAGAAGTATGTAGTCCTGAGCTGTCTATGGTAACCCTGAGTCCACATCACTAGATCAATGAGTACTTAGACTTAGCCTCTCATGCCAACAACCAGATGGGGCAGAAAAGCCTAATTACATCACCATTAAGTACTTACTGTGCCAAATACATTTATTTAAAAGATTACACTTCTATTTTTACGCCAGATTATATAACTTTAATTGTCTAACATGCTATGAAAATATCTCATTAAAATACATATAAAAGTTTATTTAGGCAACTTATCTGGATAACTAAAGTTTACCCTGAAGTGTCAATGATAGGTTTTAATTTTAAGCCTATAATTTTTTAAATAAAAAATTTAAATAAATATTTTTAATAAAAAATACTCCCAATTGAGTTCTCTCTTTTTGAGTTGGAATCACACTGTCTCTCAGGCACGATCACAGATCACTGCAACTTCAATTTCTGGGCTCAGGTGATCTTTCCACCTCAAAAGCATTCCAGATATTAACTCTTATTAAATGGCCCAAATCAATTTAATTCCTTATCGCTTTATGTTTTAGTACTTTTCCTCTCAAAGACTTGTCAGTTATAAAACTCCACCTCACTTTCTTTATTGTCTACATCTACTAATCTCTCTTATCTTTCCTTTTGACACCTCTACTTGCTTCTTCAAATCTATTGTACTCTCAAAAACCAGATGACTCAACTTGTTAGAATTATAAAAAAGTATAAGGAAGCTTTCAGTAAAAGTCTAGAGGGATAGCTTATGAATAAAATATGAGGTATTAATGATTTATTAAATATATATCATGTATGGAGTACTTAATACACACTAATAATTTTACATACATTATCCAATCCTCACAAAAACTGGTAAGATATTATATCCTTCAGGTTTTTGTGAAGATTAGAGTTAATATATGTAAATGTATTAAATTTGAAGAAGTTAAGTAGTTTTCCCAAACTGATGTATCTAGTAAGTGGCTGAGCTGGGAGTTCCATTTAGGGTCCTCAGAGGTTCTTTTTTTTAATAACTTTCTGGCTTGTAGTATAGACATTATTTGACTTTGCCTTTTAAAATCTTCATTACATACTCCCAGCAGCAATGAGTAGATCTAACATCTGACCTGGTTTCTAAATATTACTTCCCACTAATAGGAACCAGAGACCCTTGGAGAAATGGCCACTTCCAGGGCTGGGGCAGGAAAAAAAATTAGCATGAGCCTAGGATACCCTGTCATGCCAGAAAATGAAAAAATGCTCAAGAAATGGTGAGGACATGTCAAAAAAAGCACAGAAGCCAGTTTGGACTGGCGCTCATTGACTAAATCTGGGACAACTTGAGCATCAAAATGAATTTTTGAATAATAAATTATAGCCCATTAAGTAAAAACTAGAATCCATGAATCTACAGTGGTGATTAGGAAAGATTTTTATTATGCCTAAATGACAACTAAAAAAAAAAGGCAGCAAGAATGAAAAATTAGAAAATCACCATTTCATTATTATAATAGTACTAATAGATTTAAGCAAGAATTATCAGCAGATGATAAAACACTGCATAAAAGTTTGACAGAACAGGGAGCAGTGGCTCATGAGCCCCTGTAATCCCAGCACTTTGGGAGGCAGAGGTGAAAGGATTGCCTGAGCCCAAAGGTTCGAGACCAGCCTGGGCAACATGGTGAGACCTCATCTCTACAACAAATCAAAAAATTAGCTGGGCATGGTGGCACACGCCTGTAGTTCCAGCTACTTGAAAGGCTGAAGTGGAAAGATAACCTGAGCCCAGCAGGTCGAGGCTGTGGTGGCCATGAGCGTGCACTGCAGTATAGCCTGGGCAACAGAATGAGACTGCGACCCCCTCAAAAAAAGAAAACAAACAAAAAAAAAGTTTGACAGAGAACAGGATACCTAAACCATCTCAAAGTATTTCCACATAGATTATTTATAAATTACAAAGGGAAAAATGATAACTGTAATAACTTTGGAGTTGAGAAATATGGCAGACAGCACCTTAACCAGGTGATAAAGTTAACATTACCAGTTATAGGACAAACTGATAACCTGCACTTCTTGATGTGCTTGCCTTGAAAAGGACACATCAAACCAGGCTCGGTGGCTCAGCCTGTAATCCCGTGCTTTGGGAGGATGAGGTGAGTGGATTGCCTAAGCCCGTGGGTTCGAGACCTGCCTGGGCAACTTGGCAAGACATTATCTCTACAATAAATCAAAAAAATTAGTCAGGCGTGGTAGCGTATGCCTGTAGTTCCAGATACTTGGAAAGCTGAGGTGGAAGGATCACCGGAGCCAGCAGGTCGAGGCTGCGGTGGCCGGGAGCGCCCATTGCACTCCAGTCTGGGCGACAGAGTGAGACTCCAACTCAAAAAAAAAAAAAAAAAAAAGAAAAGGACACATCACTTAATATCACTGCCAAAAATGTATAACTTGAATCTAACAATGAGAAAACAGTAGTCAGACAAACCCATTTTGAAGAACAGTCTACAAAACTACTTGCCTTTTACTCTTCAAAAATGTTAACATAATGATAACCAAAAAATGGTGAAAGAACGTTTCCTGAATAAAGGAGACTCAAGAACTATATAAACTAAATGCAGTACATTATCTTGACTGGATCCAGGAATCAGGGGAGCTGGGGGATGCCATAAAGGCTATATTGGAATAACTGAAAAAATTTGAAATATGGACTATATGAGGGCACCCAAAGAACCTAGAATTATTAATTTTTTTTTGGAGGGCAGCGCCCTTGTAATACAGGCTTCCTCCGCTAAGTAAGTGTTCTAGGAACCCATTGGTACCAGTGTACTAGCATTGCTGTGAGAGATTGTGTTCAGCTTCAGTGAATTTTTTTTGGACAGTCTTTCAGTGTATTTGCCTATTTCATGATGGGTGATTTACAAGTGCACCTGCCCACATTGTGCTGAGTGTTCAGAAGTTTTTGACCAAAAACAGCATGACCCCTGAGCCCTACCCTCCCTTTTCACACCATCTCACTCAAAGCAACTTTTTTTTGTTGTTTTCCCAAAGAAAAAAGTCCTCAAAAGGAAACGTTTTGCCAATATGGAAGAGGTGAAACAAAAACCATCATAAGCACTAAAAGACATCAAAATTGACAAATTCAAAAGCTGTGGAAAAAAGGGTCTCGACATGTATATTGCATCAAATAGAGTACTCTGAAGGTAACTGAAGTCTAAACATGAAAGGATAAATACATTTTTTTAATAAATAAATTCTGGGTTTTTAGGTCCCCCTTCACATGTTATTAGATGATAGTATTCCATCAGGGTTATACTTCTAAATTTGATCTTCATACTTTGGTTATGTAAGAGCATCTCCTTAAGTATTTAAGGATATGTACAATTTTTTCTCAAATAGTTCAACAAAATAATATTACAATTTTTTAAAAAGGTAATAAAAACCACATATACTCACTTAAAGTAGGAAAATTATCATATCAAAGACTTAGGCAAAGTAACTTAAAACAGAAATATCCTTTTAAATTTTTTTTTGAGTCAGAGTCTCACTGATGCCCAGGCTGGAGTGCAGTGTCATGCTCATGGCCACCGAAGCCCTTCAACCCGCCAGGCTCAGGTGATCCTTCTGCCTCAACCTTCCAAATAACTGGAATTACAGGTGTGCGCCACCACACCTAGCTAATTTTCTTATTTATTGTAGAGACAAAGTCTTGTCAAATTGTACACACTGGTCTTGAACTACGGGCTCAAGCAATCCTCTCACGTCTGCCTCCCAAAGTGCTGGGATTACAGGCTTGAGCCACCACATCCGGCTCAGAAATATCCTTTTTGATAAAAGAATCATGATACTTCTTGGGCAAGGTAATGGGAACAATGAAGAACAAGGTCTGCTCAGGGTCAAATGTCTAACATAATGGTATGAGATGCTATGGAAAGGTTACCCAAACAAATGTAGCCAATCAAGGAAAAGCATTGGTTGTAATAACTATAGTCATAATGATACTATGTATGAAAAACTCACACAGGAAGAGAGGACCTTCTTCCTCTGTTCGTCTTCTTTGCAATTACTGGAGTACCAAAATGCTCTGGATTTGTTAAGGGAAGCTGGTCAAGTGTCTGGATAAGAAACAGACTAATTAAATCACATTTTACCTCTACATCAGTAGCTGCTGTTCAACCCAAATAGTCCATCCATGTCACCATACCTCACTCTCTGCAAAATGTCTTTCCCCTTTCAGGCAAAGCGAGGTACGTCTCAATGTTCTCTCATCACCATCATCAAACACTACAATAAACACAAAATATCAGATAATTTAATTAAATGAGAACTGATAAAACAAAAACTTAACAGCACAGCATGCTTTTACTGCTATTCATTAGAGCTCAATATATGTAAGAACCATTATTTGTTAGTCATGTTTCAAAACCTTTTACAGACTTGGGCAAAGCAAACCACATTTTTCATTCTATAGATACCAAACACAAGTTAATGGCTCCCACAGTGCTTAAGTATCTCCATTTGCTTTTTTGGCTTCTGTCACTACAGAACCACCTTTATTCATTAGCAACCTAGTCAAAGCACAAACATTACACACCTGCAATTCTAAAAGAATGAACAAAAATCTATGATTTAAAAAGAAGTATTATGGGATTTTCCACAACAGTTTTTAATAGAGGGCCTCTAATTTCCAGAAACTGTTTGACTCCTGGTAATGTTGTTAATTATTATATTTCTGCCTATTTGCATGATAACCTACTATAGTAGAAGTACTTGCTGCCAAATTTTAAAGTCTTAAGATTCAAGCTCTCTTCTTGGGTCAGAAATGGATATAAGTAGTTTAGAAATAAAGGTCAAAACAAACATTAGAAAGATATAAAGTTTTTTCAAAAAGAAAGAAGTCATAATTACACAGAAACTTTCTTCAATTTTTTACTTTTACTACACATTTAAAAAGTCATACTACTTAGGTATGATTAAATATTTTAAGAAAACGGGGATATGGAATTTTATAATTTCTCTAATATTATCCTAATCACTAATAAACAAATATACTGATAATCTTATAGGCTTAACTATTCAGATTTTAGCATGTAACATTTACTAAGTTTATTTTTTTAAGATACTCTCAGAAAATACCTCAATTCCCAAGATTATAAAGAAGCAAAATAAAAAACAGAATCCTTACCTCAGATACTTAACATGCCTTTTCATTCAACAATGTTTGTATATCTTATGAAAAGAACATTTTTCATAGGAAAGCATATATACACAAAAATGATTAAGATTTAATATTAATTTTAAAAATTCGAGGTACTTTCCCATTCTAACAGAGTAAGTTAGAATTAATAAGGGGAGGCCGGGCTCGGTGGCTCAGCCTGTAATCCCAGAACTTTGGGAGGCCGAGGTGAGTGGATTGCCTAAGCCCGCGGGTTCAAGACCCACCCGAGGAACTTGGCGAGACCTCATCTCTACAATAAATCAAAAATTAGCCAGGTGTGGTAGTGTGCGCCTGTAGTTCTGGCTACTTGGAAGGCTGAGGCAGAAGGATCGCCGGAGCCCAGCAGGTTGAGGCTGTGGTGGCCAAGAGCATGCCACTGCATTCCAGTCTGGGCAACAGTGAGACTCCAACTCAAAAAAAAAAAGAAAAGAAAAAAGGGGAAATTCTACATTATGTTGACTTAATATCTTGGTGTCTTTTAATTGGTTACCTGTATAATTACAATCCTGAATTTTTTTCTTAAGGATGGCTGTTTAATTAACATTTTGTCTTCAAACCATACACATTTAACGAAGTTTTAAAAGGAAATTTAATGATACAAAAGCACTCAACAAGAAAAGCAGCTGTGCTATACACTGCCAATGAACCAGAAATTAATGACTACCTGCAGATACAATGACAGGATAAAACACAACATCTTCCGACAATGACCTCATTGATCTGCACTTGATGAATGGTGTCTTAAATACTTATTTCAAAAATTATTATTCATATAGTATCATCAATTTTAATAAGCTCTTGTTTTTTAAAAACACTGAAATCATGAAATTATCATAAACTAAACTGATAATAATTCTTCACGTTAGTATAGTGTCTATAGGTACAAGATTTTGTAAAAGAATAAAACCTTAAGGATTCCAATTTTCCTTAATGTCTACAATACCAAAGATGGTGACACTGGACACACATACATTTCAATGGAGGTATGAGGAAGGAAAATGAGAATGTAAGACCAATACTGTCAAAGTTATATAAAAAGTATTTTCCCTAGTGTTTTATCATTAATCAATGACAGCCTTAAATCAAAATGTTCTGATACAAACATTTTAACAATTTAATTTTCTTAGTTCTTGTTTTTTTAGATCATAACTTTGAAATAAAATCAGATATTTTTTAAGGGAAACATTCATTTCACTTCTACATACTTTATAATAAATAAAAATATTGTAAAGACTAAGGATATCTCAAAAGTGAATTATGGTATAAACAACTATACTACAGGGTTTTTTAAATTTTGTTTTGTTTTGAGTTAGAATTTCTATCGCCCAGGCTGGAGTGCAATGGCACACTCATGGCCACCCCAACATTGACCTGCTGAGCTCTGGCGATCCGTCTGTCTCAGTCTTCCAAGTAGCCAGAACTACAAGGCAAGTACTACCATGCCCAGCTAATTTTTTTATTTATTGTAGAGACGAGGTCTCACCATGTTGCCCAGGTTGGTCTCGAACCCATGGACTCAGGCAATCCTCTCACCTCGGCCTCCCAAAGTGCTGGGATTACAGGCTTGAGCCACCGCGCCCGGCCACTAGTTTTACACATAGGAATTCTAAGTGAGCAAAGAGAAACAGTTTAAGATTTCTTTTATTTACAAAACTGCACAAATATATGTACTTGAGTATTTTATACATTTGTTAAGTAATATAACTTTTTGACACTTTCTGAAAGGCAAATAGAAAACCCAACAACATTGTAAACTTATTAATCATAACATCCTGATTACCAAAACCAGGAAGAAGCGCCACGTATAAGAAGCTTCCTCTATAACTTCCATGTTAGCGAAGTATCATCTAAAATAAAACAAAATTTGTAGGCACTGAAGAGTGACTTTAGCATTTTGGTAAGAGTGAAATAATTGGCTGTGTACATAATAAATTTAGCTTTTTAGTTCAGACTTATTTATAACATACTCAAAGGAAAAAAAGTCACACTACAAAGATTTAATAATTTTAAGAAATGTCTTATACTTGCCCCAAAAGGCATTTAAATAGATTATTGAGTTCAACAGAACATGCGTACAACCAAGAGTAGTATCAGTTATTACATTATCAAATACTATAATGGTTAATTTTAGATGTGAACTTGACTGGATTAAGGACTACTTAGAGTACTGGTAAAGCATTACTTCTGGGTGTGTCTATGAGGGTGTTTCCAGAGAAGCCTGGTGTGTGAGTCAGTGAACTAATTGGGATGGATCAGTTCTCAATGTGGGCAGGCACCATCCAATTGGCTGGGGGCCCGGGTGGAACTAAAAAGCAAAAATAAGATTTCCTCTCTCTTGAAGCTGGGACACTCTCCTCCTCCTGCTCTTGGGCATTAGAACTTTGGGCTATCTGGTCTTGGGACTCTGAGTCTTGGACCAACAGTCCCTCAGATTTTCAGGCCTTTGGACTGAAACTGAGAATTATACCATCAGCTTCCCTGTTTCTGAGGCTTTCAGACTTGGACTGAGTCACGCTACTGGCATCCTAGGTCTCCAGCTTGCAGACAACCTGTCATGGGACTTCTCAGTTTCCATAATTGCATGAGCCGATTTCCCTAATAAACTCTCTCGTATCTATACCTTATTGGTTCTGTCTCTTTGGAAAGCCCTAATACAGATTTAAATACTAAAACCTACTTAGAGGAAAATGACAAAGCTGAGACTCTCACGGTAGCACTACTCATAAAAACAGAAAAAATAATGCCAATGCAAACCAATAAACAAATCTAACCCTAATCTGCTAGATTTAAAGAAACAAAACACAACAAGGTTCTAATGAACTACTAAATAAATCAATCTGTTATAACACTGATGCTGAAAGATAATCATAACAGTAAATTAATTTACCTATCCAGAGATGTAATTGGCTATCACTTATTAAGCTTCTACCATGTCCTAATCCTCACAACAGCCTCTGCAAGGTAGGAATTACTAACTTCTTTTCAAAAAGAAATTGTTGGCCAGGCATCGTGGCTCAATGCCTATAATCCCAGCATTTTCAGGGAATGAAGTGGGAAGATTGCTTGAGCCCAGGAGTTTGAGACCAGCCTGGGTAAAACAGCAAGACCACATCTCTACAACAACAACAACAGAAAAAAATAGGGAAAAGAGGGGAGGGGGAATATTAAAAAATTAGCTGGATGCAGTGGAGCATGCCTTGTAGGTCTAGTTACGCAGGAGACTAAGGCGGAAGGATTGCCTAAGCCAGGAAGTTGGGGGCTACGATGAGCTGTGACTGTGCCTCTGCACTCCAGCCTGGGTGACGGAGTGAGACCTTAACTCAAAAAAAAAAGATAGATAAAAAGATATAGAGTATCAAAAGATTAACCAATAGGCTGCAATTTTGTTAAGAAGGAATAGAAAGATATACATAACATATAGGTATGAAACAATATAAAATTAGACTGAGAAGAAGTAAAAAATTCAGATTTGGGGAAAATACGTATTATTGATTATTGTTATAACTGTGTACAGTAGTTATAATTAACAGAATTTGTTATATAATGCAATAAAAAATTTAAAGTTAAAAATATATGGATGCCAAAGGTAAAATCAACAGTTCTCTTTTTTTAAAAAATTATTTATTTGACAAATAAAAACAATATGTATTTATGGTGTACATGTTTTAAAATGTGAGTATGTTGTGGAAGCTAATTAACATATGCATTACTTCACATACTTATCACATACTTGTGGTGAGCAGTTTTCAAGTACACAATACATTGTTACTGACTATAGTTCCCATGCTGTACAATAGACCGCTTAAACTTTTTCTGGGGGGGGGGAGTCAGTCTCACTCTGTGTCCCAGGCTGGAGTACAATGGCACATTCATGGCCACCACAACCTTGACCTACTGGGCCCAGGGAATCCTTCCACCTCAGTCCTCCAAGTAGCTGGGACTCCAGGAATATGCCACCATGCCCAGTTCATTTGTTTTTTGTAGAGATGAGGTGTCGCCACGTTGCCCAGGCTGGTCTCAAACTCTTGCACTCAAGCAATCCCTCCATGTTGGCCTTCCAAAGTGCTGGGATTACAGGCGTGAGCCACTGCATCCAGCCTGGATCTCTTATACTTATTCCTTCCTCCCAGTCAAAATTTTGTATCATTTGATCAACATCTTCCCAGTCCCTCACCCACCCTCAACCTGCCCTAGCCCCTGATAACAACCATTCTACTTTCTTCTAAGAGATTGACTTTTTTTATATTCCATGTAAGTGACATCATATGGCATTTGTCTTTCTGTGCTTTGCTTATTTCACCTATAACGTCCTCCGGGTTTGACCATGTTGTTGCAAATGAAGAATTTCTTTTTAAAGGCTGAATAGTATTCCATTGTGTGTGTATATATCCCACATTTCTTTCTCCATGCATTCGCTTAGAGACACTCATATTGATTCTGTATCTTGGCTATTGTGATATAATGCCGCAGTAAATGTGGGAGTATAGATATTTCTTCAACACACTGACTTCATTTTCTTTAAATATATACCCAGATGTAGAATTGCTGAATCATATGGTAGTTCTATTTTTAATTTGTTTAGGAACTTCCATAATGTTTTCCATGATGGTTGTACTAATTTTCATTCCTACCAACAGTATACAAGTGTTCTTTTTTCCTCCATATCCTTACAGCACTCATAATCTTTTATCTTTCTAATGACAGCCATTCTAACAGGTATGAGGTAATACCTAATTGTGGTTTTAATTTGCATTTCTCTAATAAAAGCTGATGTTGTACATTTTATCACATACTTGTTAGCTAATAGCTATTTGTATGTCTTCTTTTGAGAAGTGTCTATTCAGGTCCTTTGCCCATTTTTTAATTGGGTTGTTTTCGTGCTGTCGAGATGCTTGAGTTCCTTATATATCTTGGATATTAACTGCTTATGAGATGTGGGCCTTGCAAATATTTTCTCCATTCAGAAGGTTGTATCTTTACTCTGTCAATTGTTTCCTTGTCTGATGTAATCCCTCTTGTCTGTTTTTGCTTTTGTGCTTGTGTTTTTGGGTTCATATTCAAAAAAATCAATGCCCAATATCATAGAGCTTTTCCCCTATGTTTTTTTCTAGTTTTACAATTTCACATATTAAGTTTAAGTCTAATCCATTTTGAGTTTATTTTTGTATATAGTGTGAGATGAGGGTCTAATTCAATTCTTTTGCATGTGGATACCTAGTTTTTCAACACCATTTACAGAAGAGACTCTTTCCCATTGTGTGTCCTTGGCATCTTCATTGAAAATCAATTGACTATAAATGGGTAGATTTATTTCCAGGTTCTCTATTCTGTTCCATTGGTCCACGTGTCTGTTTTTATGCTGAGTAGTATGATGTTTTGAGTACTATAGCTTTGTAGTATATTTGAAATCAGGTGGAATGATGTCTTCAGTCTTGTTTTTTTTGCTCAATAATGCTTTACTCCAATAGTTCTGTTATCCATAGAGTCACTTGTGATAACTATAAGTCTCTCTGTAGCTTTGTTCAACAAAAAGCAAAAACAAAAATCTCCAGGAACCTGGAAACCTAAGAAATTAACACTCGAAGATATACATGAACAAAATATCCTGGGAATATGAATTCTTGTGGAAGTCCAACTAAACGAGTTAAAGCCTGTCACAGGACTAAACAGATTTATCTGTGGCTTAGTACTTTCTTGCTGAATGATTCTTTTAGTCAGTGGAATAACCATGTGGTTATGAAATATTTTGTGCTTGATTTTGGTTATAACATTTGTCATAAAAGGATCTACTTTAAAAGCTTTATAAACATACAGCACATTCTTCAAAATTCTGTTACTCTACCAGTTTAATCTAAACCTCCTCTACTCAATGTCAACTAAAACTTCTATGAAATCTAATATTACTAATGTTTGTTCAAAACAGTAACTATAAAAAAATGCCTAAATCGTAAGCATTTCTTCATGCAAAAATATTAATATAAATGATGGAATAGATTTTAGTGTTAAACTTCATATATGATGTGTGTGTACATTTCATATGTAAATTACTAAAATTATTGGCTTTTTTTTGCTTTATGTTTTCCTAATTTATCAAATATGTGTTTTGTGGGGGGTTTTGCTTATGCTTTTTAAATTTTTTTCTGCAGAGATGAGATTTCTCTATGTTGCCCAGGCCGGTCTCAAACTCCTTGGCTCAAGCAATCCTCCGACTTCATTCTCCCAAAGTGCTGGGATTACTGGCATGCGCTACCACACCTGGCCAAATACATGTTATTTTTACATTACAAAAAGGCAAAATAAGAGTACTTTCAAAATATCTTACTGACAGTTTTATTTACCAAGAATTAATGGCAACATTTAACTGCAGATATTAATTCTAATCCCAATTTTGATTCCTCTCAAATGACTGGATAACATCCTTCCATATATTACATTTTTATCTTTAATGCAAGGATAAGAACTATAAAATGAATAAAGAATGGTATTAACAGGAAGAGAAAATATTTCTAATGCTTAAAAACAAACTTTAAAAAACAAAACAAAACTCCTGAGCTGGTGCTATTTATTGTTCAACATTATAGGGCAAGGTATTATTAGTATTTCAAAAACCCCAAGTCATATTAAATCCATAATCTTTTAACAGAAAGGAAATTAATATCTACATTACATGAGAAGAGAAGAAGTTAATATAACTGACTCTAATGATAACTTTAGATCACTCATGATCGTAACTCCTGTTTGATACAAACCAGCAATGTGGTACCCTCTTCTGTTTCAATTTTTAATAATCTGACATACTTTCAGATATTACATGAAGCCAAAAAAAGTCTTGGAGGCCATTAACACTATAAATAACTTTCCAATTCCACTTTTATACATAACACTTAGCTAGGAATTAGAAATCAACAAAAATTCCAGAAAAGAACAATTAAACCCAATAGGTATTAGGTATTTACTAAAAGAAAAACGTAGAAAGTGCATGACCCATGAGAGGTCTCACATTTCATTTTGCCATCTTTTTAAACCAAACAGTAATTATGCTCATTAGACTCTGATCATTCTTTATGTGGTCCACATCCTTTAATACCCAAATGTTCTTTATAGCAGTCTTATATTGAGTGTTCTGACGTAAACAGTGCCTGTCAAAATCTTTTTATCAATCTTGTTCACACACATAAGTACAAAAATCTTGACTACTCTGAATCTGATTGCCAGACAAATCTGTTTCTTCCTGTTTTCCTATGTGTGTACTACTTGCATCAGAATCACCCAGCACGCTTACAAAAGATTATTGTATTGCCATCCCCAGACCCACTAAATTGGAGAAGTCTGTGGTCCTTAAATCAAAAGATTATTGTATTGCCATCCCCAGACCCACTAAATTGGAGAAGTCTGTGGTCCTTAAATCCTCATTTTTCTAAGCAAGCACCAAGAGATTCTTATGTACACTAACACTTGGCACTTCAATTATATGCAATTAAGATTCTAAAACTCTTTGAGAACAAGAATTATACAATTTCTTCTGTAATTACTGAACATAGAAAATCACCACAGAGAAAGCTCAGCTCTGACTAGTTCTTAGAAATACTAAAATGTCACTCATGTAGAGGACAGAGATCGCTATTCATAATTGAATAATGATGCTGAGATGAAGAAACCCAGAATGTGAAAACCTGAAAGTTAATGCTTCTGCAGAACATAAGCATTTTATTAGTAAAGTTTATAAGTAATGTGAGTGCAACCTTGATAGTACCATACAGGATGAAATATTAGTATTTGAAAATGCATCATATATTTTCCCACCTACACATACCAACTCCTATAATTTTCACCAGTTCTTTGTTTAATATAACAAAATTACATTAATGTAATCTCTAAAAGTTAACATTAAGCTTAGTTTTTAAATCTCTAACAAATATCAAGAGCCACAACTAAGCTTCCTAAAAATATGTAGTTCAGAATAATACCACCATTGTAATCAACCCCAACTTCTAGGAGATCCAAGAAGAATAAAAGAGATTAGAAAAAAAATAGTTATATACAGCAAATTGCTGCTACTAATAGAAGCCACAGGGTCAGACAAAGGAAATACAATTTTTAACCAAAGCATGTTCTTCACAGCTTTGAGCATCAAATAGAGACAAATGATTTTTACTGAAAGCAATAAATCAAGTAAACTAAAAGTAAACCTAAATGGTCACCTTTTCTTCTTCTACAAGAAAACCACAACATGATAATTACACTGCATAAAACAAAACATACATGGAAGAAAAATCAACAATGCTATAGGTGTCCAGTGCAAAAGAATGGATGTTATCCAGTATTGTGTAGTTCGAAAATACTGAGGAGATTTGGAAGTATTACCTATTGCTATTCTCATCAACATAATGACAACTGTTTAAGTACCACTTTTAGGTTTTAACTTACATGTATTATGATACTTGTTGCTTCTTACCACAGTAAAGGTTTTTAAAGCCATTAAAAGCTTATGCATGGAATGCTAAGAATGCATTCACATGAAGAGTATATAAATATATAGAAAGCTGTTAATGAGAACCCACATACTGTCAAAATAAAAAATTAAGCTACAATCACCTAGTCTTGAATCTACTATGGTCAGAATTTTTTTAGTCACTAAATTCTATGTCAACATCTACATTACCCTTATTTAATACATGTAGCAACACTATAAAAGACTGCAACTATGCAATTTTTATTCCAATTATAGAAAATGCCTGATTATTTATAATGTTTTATTAACTTTACTTATAAAAAACAATAATGATATGATCTAACTTTCTTGAAGAGCAACACCAAAATAACCTAAAACAGGACTGTACATTCTTGGATGAAAAATAGACACAGGTGGCTAAGTTACTGTATTTTGTTATCTGCAGCATATCATTAAAATTTTAGTCAACTATATACAGTACACTGAAAAGGAAAGAATATATATTTCTCTGACAATACAATGATTCAGTGAATCCACAAAATAGAGGTATATGTAACCTCCAAATCAAATCTATGTATTAAATTACTTAACTACTTACCCACAGTATACCAACTAGCATCTGTCAACTTGCTGATAATAGCTTCCTGAAAAGATCCATCAGATGTCCTGGTTTCAACAATAGCTCCAACCTAAAACATGAAATCCAAATTTCCTTACCCAATTTAAACAAATAAACCAAAACACTTCCACCAACTATATGATTTGGACAAGAAAAATAATATAGGCTGGGCTCGGTGGCTCAGCCTGTAATCCCAGCAGTTTGGGAGACCGAGGAGAGTGGATTGTCTGAACCTGTGGGTTTGAGACCAGTCCCAGCAACTTGCAAGGTTGAAGCAGAAAGATCGTCTGTGCCCAGCAGGTTGAGCCTGCAGTAGCCATGATTGTGCCACTGTACTCCAGCCTAGGCAACCTAGTGAGACTACAACTAAAAAAAATAAATAAATAATAAAAAATATTAATTTCTGGTTGGGCATGATGGCTCAGGCCTATAATCCCAGCACTTTGGGAGGACAAGACGAGAGGAATGCGTGAGCCCACAGGTTTGAGACCAGCATAGGCAACGTGGTGAGACCACATCTCTACAATAAATCACAAAAATTAGCTGAGCATAGTAGTGCATGCCTATAGTTCCAGTTACTTGGAAGACTGAGGCAGAAGGATCGCTGGAGCCCAGCAGGTTGACGCTGGCTTGCTGCTGGGGTGGCCATGAGTATGCTACTACACTCCAGCCTCAGTGACAGAGTGAGACTCCAACTCAAAAAAAAAAAAAAAAAGAAAAATAATATAGTGCTTATGATAATTATACCTTACATTGGCTTAGAACCTTGTCATTCATAGTACTCATATTTATTATGCCAAAACACTCTGGCATAAGTAAAGTAGCTATTATTACCCCTACTTTACACAATGAAAATTGTGGCTCCAAAAGAGAAAATAATTTGCAGAGTTCAGGATGAGAACCCAGTCTCTTAAATCTAACCTTAGAGCTTTTTCACTATATCATATTACTTTCAAGAAAATTAAATACAAGAACTGTAAAATCATAAGACAACCAATATGGCCTTGATTTTTTCTCAAGAAATATTGAATACTGGGTTCAACATTTGTACTTGGGGGATCTTTTAGAGAAAGGTTCACCTGGAGAGAGATGGATGGACCAGGTAAAATTTTTTAAGCTTCCAAATCTTTGTATATCAGGTATTAACTGAAATGGTACCCTGACATAACAAAGATGTATAAACAAATAGCCAGAAATGGATGGAAAACATAATATTTTCTTAAATTATTAAATGAGCATAGTTTACTTGGTAAATTAGAACAGAAGACTCAGGCCTACAATACTAGTATGTTAGAAGGCCAAACATCACCTCAGATATGGCAACAGATATGTAAAACAAATTCTTCAATCCAAGAATTCAGAACAAAAGATGACTTTGTGGGCTTCCCCCTCCACCTGCCCCTAAGCCTGAGCAGTCTCAAGCTAACACAACCAGCAACTGCGACTCCGGCAGCAAGAGGAGAAGATGGACAAGAGGAAGCTGGTGTGAAGGCGAGCGTCACACAGTCGGGTACCTGGTCGCCTTCCGGAAAGGCCTGCTCCACCACATCTTTCTTTTCCAGCCTCCTCCTGCATCTTCCAAAAGTGACTCGAAAGTCAAACAAAGGATTTAGAGCCATGCTTTCATTGTGTTTTTATTCTCAGCATTTTTGTTTGTTTTTTGAAACTGCTCTAAGTTTTAAATGATCCCCTTCAGTTCTGTGTATATACAACATCTTAGAAACTTGAAAGTGGAGTTATGAGACATGAGGTGGAGCTCTTCCCAGGTGCCAAGTTTTTGTCAAACATTTCATCCATAAAGGGTGGCTTGAGCCCTGGTGTTAAGTTCTGTAGATATACGAGAGGCAGACAGGACGAGGACTCTAAGCTTACGGTCCACCCCCCAAACTACACCCAGCTACTTTCCACTTCTCTAGATACTGTTAATGATTCCAGATTTATTTAGGGGTGCCCTGTGGCAGTGCATCTCAGACTTTTTTCAGCTTTAACTGCAAAGGAGACTGAATATGGATCTCTGGGGGCATTGCTTGAAGCAGTTGAAAACCTGAAGCCCCCTACCCCCAACTTTTTTATTTTTGGAGTAGGGGTCTCACTCTGTCGTCTAGACTGGAGCGCAGTGGCCGATCACAGCTCACCACAGCTTCCACCTCCAGGGTTCAGGCGATTCTCAGTCTCCTGAGTAGCTGAGACTGCCAGGTGCACGTCATCATGCTCTGCTACTTTTTTGTAGAGGTGAGTTCTCTGCTGTGTTGCCCAGGCTGGTCTCCAACTCCTGGGCTCAAGCAATCCTCCCACCTTGGCCTCCTAAAGTGCTGGGATTACAGGCATGAAATCCATTTTTATATGCAACCAATGTTATCAGTGTTCAGTGTGTATTCTAGAGATATTAGATGCTCTTTATCTTTAAAAGTATTATATGATATTATACGTATGTTTATACATATATGCTCATGACCACCACAGATTTGATCTGCTGGGCTCAGGCGATCCTTCTGCCTCAGCCTTCCAAGTAGCTGGAACTACAG